AGAAAATTGAAATCAAGTCTTGTGACAGTACAATTCCAAAGTTTGTGTATTTAACATTTAACATTTTACCTTTTACAATAGGGCACTGACAAAAGTACACTCATCTTTCCAGTGCAAAATGTTTTTTTTATTATTTGGATTTAAGTAGTAAGATTAGTAAGAAGTTAATGCATGAAATCTTTATTAATACATTCTCTTCTGGAATAACCAGTTAAATAGATTAATTTAATCAAATAAACAGAGAGCATTACTTTTTTACTCCTACTTTCAAATCGCTAGATATTAAACGACTTTATAGGCTTGTCACTGCATTACATTCCAACCTTAGCTGGTTTCATACAGTGAACCCACCGAGCTTTTCAGACTGATTTTATTAAATAAACAAAAGAGCTAAATCTAGTATTAACTTGTGCCTGTTCAAAGACAGTTTTACAATATGTGAAATCAAACTCCTCAATCCTTGTGGGGCTAAAGCAGCATTGCAATGCCACAGCAATATCCTGGCTACAAAGTTTGGATTTAACTATAAGGCCTGAACTCTGGGTGGTATTTAATTCAGGAGATGCTTAAGAGACTGTAAATTAATTAAATAGCATGAAAATTAGCTCACGTCTACGTATTACAATTTCCACATAACGGTAAATGAAGAGTATAACTATGAAGCAATGTGTATATGAAATTACCATATCATACAAAATGTTTAAAATTGGCAGTGATAACTTTAAATCATTTGCAACAGCTGCAAAAACACTTCTTAATTTGTTAAGTGTGTAATTTGTAATGCTTCTACCATTTTAAAAGGCAAATTAGATTTATTCTTTAAAACAAAGTCATGGTGCACATTCAGGTATATTGAACACCTGAAACTTAAACAACATTTGAAAAGAGTCTTTTTAAAGCACTGTCTCAAATGCACTTCAGTAACCCAAAACATCCTCTGATATAAAGCCTAAACCATTTAGGGGTATAATTCCAAGAGGCTGAGATTACAGAATGGGGATTTAGCTCAGAGCATATTTAGATTTCATAAAGAATCAGTCTGAATACTTGTATTTTTTTAAAACATCACATCCGTATGTGATAAAAATGGACTAAATGTAACAACAATAACTAAAAATATTGATTACATACTTCCATTCTATATTCTCCAGGTTTGTAATTCTGACTCCAACTTTTATATTAGTTTTAAAAAGCTGTAACAATTTTGCTTCCAACAAAACTAATTTTGCTCAGCTGTAAAAATAAGTACTTAAGAGGCCATTTAATCAATGGAAAAGGAAAGATAGCAGGTGCATTGCAAGGAGTAATTGGCTTGTTCTTTTCAAGATAGGTAGCATGAGTCTGAATCGACACATTTCATTATGAGACCAGGAAAATATGGAACACCAGAGAATGCCATAAAGAGTATACCATTACAAATGTAACAGTTCAAAGTGGATTTAAAATTGACACCTGAGCACACTTAGCAAATATATACAGTATAAGTACACACAAATATTTAGTTTAAAAAGCTAGATCATTTTTACAATTTTTTTACATTAATGTGGTGATTTCTGCTTTTTTTCTCACCTTTTTCTGTCATTTGTCATCCATCTCTTCAATCAGCTATACGCATACTGTATATAAACTTTAAAATTTATCTGTAAAGCCCCAATATATAAGAACTAGTGTTCCAAAAGGAAAAAGCTTATCCAAAATATAGTGTGTTTTTCTAATAAGCTTTTTTTAAAGCTCAAATAGTTCCTTTATAACTTTAGCAACTTAAATAAGATTAAATGGTTTGAGTAAGTTTTAGTAAGTACAGAAAGTACTAACCTATTCAACATCAAAAATTGGTTGAATTTTAAACAAACAAATCACAGTTATTTGTATTTCTAGTCCATTTCAAAATTCACAGAGGAATAGCCGAGACAAAACTACTGAAACTATATGGTGTTTTAAATCCAGTGGGCACCAATTAAGCTATTAAAATTAACTTATATTAATAACTCCAGAAAACCCCATTTCTTCCAAGGTGAGTTTTATTTTGTTACCGAACCTCTTCATTCTTTTTCATGGAAATTCAAATATCTCAATTTAAAAGTTAAATATCTTGAGTCATCAGACTATGAGATTTGATCAAAGTTTCTTCATGAACATTTTGACGCACTACACCTTACAGTAGTTTTCTATATACAGTAAGTTAATGGAATGACTTTTATTTTTATCTTTTATCCCCCTGGTCCCATGTGGGACATGCTAGTATGGTTGTAACAATATTTTGCCATTGACCCCTATGTTGTGCACAACTTGTACAGTATCTCACCCCATGTAAACCTCAGTGCTTCCAGTTAAATTATTACAGTTCATGTTGTTTTTGGCATTCCCAGATTGTTTCCATCTTGGCTAATGTTCTTGTTTTAATAAAACATATCCAAACATATTCAAGTTCTAAAATTTCTCAATTGTCACTGTAATGTTATTCTAACATTTTTTACTGTGACTTTTGCACTTTGTGTTGTCTTTGTGTTTCTCTATATCTACAGTATATCTATAATATCTTTGTGTTGCACAATCTGGAAATAATGTCTACAATAAAGTTCAAGGTTGTGTTACTGGCATAATTTTTCAAGATTGAATTGAATAAATAAATTTAAAGATGCAAAAGATCTAAGGTTGTGTATAACATAGGAGAAATTACTTTAAAAACATTGTTTTACTCTGTCTATACCTTTCCTCTAGCTTCAGTGTTGACAGGTGTTGAACCAGGTCTTGCACCTTTGAATCTTCCTTTCTCAATGCCTGTGTTGTCAGGGATGCCCAATTATGTAGCACTTTGGGCTCCAGAAGAACAGAAAGTAAAAGCAGTCATTACTATAACCAATAAACAACAGCAATTATATATAATTTCATGTCTTGTGACAAAAGTAGAGCCTAAAAGCATACACTGAAAAGTAGGAAGATCTTTTTTAAAGCAAGCAATGATTCTTTCTTGTAAGGATGTTCCATGTTACGATATTTATTGCTCATAAAATATGTGATTCTTTAAATATTTTGTAAATAATGCAAACTCCAGAGAGTGGTTTTGAAGTGTACTGTAGGTACAGCTTTGTACCAAACTATGCTAGTTCCTTCACAACTTTAGTCACAACTAAATGTATATACATCAACATAATTCAAAAGATTAGGGCATATAGTCTTCATTTGACCTATTATGAAAGGTCTCTTTCACTATCTTGTCTTAGACTATTATTTACCATGATAGGTAGGAAATACATATACTGAAAGAATTACTCAAGCTATCTGTAGTAAAGTGTACTGGTGTGGTAAATTAATGTTATACTTTATAGGTCTAATCTCAGCATCTGGGGATTCACAATGCGCTTTTCTTGTTCTAAAGCACTAACTGGTAAGATGCTGTTTTAGTGACAGGTTATACATGATGTCCTTTGGGACTTGAAATCTGGTGCTTACAAGAGTCAGTGTCCTGCCATTTTGCTTGGAAAATAACATTCACAGAACAAACAAATTACCTTTGAAATTAAAAATAATTTTAAATTGGAATTTTGTACTTGCATCAGAGAGACAATGTCTGAATCATACAGTACCATTAAAAAGCCCATGAGACTGTTGAATGGCTTAACCAATAGCTTACCCTAAAATGCCATAATCTGCCATAAGGTATAAATTAACTTTACCTTCATAATTGCTATTCACAAAAGGTTAGGCTTTGTACAAAATAGGGAGCAGAAAACGAACGAAAGTATTCCTTAAGATGTTATATTTTCACATATTTAAACATAAGAGACCTCCACCTAGTCCTAATAGTAGATAGGACTATCTGCATTTGACTAAGAAAACACAAAAAGTCTGCTCTATTATTATTTATTTAAAAAATCAGTCTGCATGCAATATAACAACATTGCTGAGTGGCATAGGTTTTCAAAGCAGAACCTGAATGAAAAACAAGACTTCTGGAACAATGTGCTTGGGACAAATGAGCCAAAAGTGGAGTTGTTTGGCCTTTGACCAGAAGAACCTCACATCAACCATCAAACATGGTGTTAGTTGGGTAATGGTTTGGGCTTGCTTTGCTACCTTAGGCCCTGGATGCCGTGCTATTATTGAATCTACTGAAGGAGTCCAGTACCTGTATTAGTACACACAAATATTTTCTCTTGCTTTCATCTTCTTCAACTGTCACATTAGTTGGTGCCGCACCTATAGATAAGGAATGAATTTGAAAGAAAGTGCAATCTTACAAAATCATCTTAGAAAGTCCTAATGCTATTGGAAATACTCTGTGGTTTTCAAGTCAGCACTCTTTCTGACTTATCCACCACCCTAACATCATTTATAAATTCTTCAGAATTCACATACCCATTCACTAAAAGTCCAGATATGTAAATAAACACTTATTACCTTGTTGAGAAGTAAAAGGACCAATTCTGTAAATTGGCAATTCTAAAAAAAGCTTTCAAACTTACAGATTTAGACCTTTTAAAATTATGTCTAATATGTGTATTGTCACAGAATGTATATTGAATATCAGCACTGGCTGTTATTCTTTATGTATTTGTGAGAAGGAAGAAGTGATATATTCATAAAACATTATACAGTACTTCTTCCCAGTTCTTCAGAGACACAAGTAAACTACATTTCTGCTTCCAATGACAACATAAACTAGGATACTTAGTGACTGGACAGTACCGCACAGTTTCCAATAAGTCAAGAAAGCCCTGTTCTATTTATTCTACAGGTTTAGATATAACCCTATTTATTGTGAGATGTCTGTTTATTATGTGTATAGACTTCTTTACTAGATAATATTTTTCTTTTGTCATTTAACTCTAAATTATACTCACAATTACCTATTATTCTACCAACATGTGCAGCAGCAACACCATCTCCCCACCAAGCCCTAGAACATGATATAAAACTATATTACTTTCTGGTTAGGAAAATTCAAGGTTTTTATCATAATATTCTCTGCCATAAGAAACGATATCTGTTCTAGTTGCCAGATCAAAGTGTAACCTGTTCTGTTCTTAGGCTGCATATACTGTAGTATGCTATAGGGCACACAATTTAAGATGCTTTAAGAATTTAAGGTGTTTCATGTTTTAGTATTGTAAATTGTATTTCAGAGTTTGTTCTATAAAGTTTCTTTCTGTAAGATAATATAACCCACTTTACTGATTGACACAAAATTGTCAATATTGTCTGTCTGGGTGACCAGACACACAATAATCATTTGCAACTAATTCATAAAACCTGCATCACCTGCATCTTTATGTTTTTCATCCTGCATTTTATTGTGCCCTCTAGTGGAAAGCACAAATAATATCACTTGCATAGATGACAAAATAGAAACGTTTCATTCGAAAAGTTAATAAAATTACCGCTCACGAGCATTCAAAGAGACAATGAAACAGAATTCATGCTTAACCCTTGATACCCAAGGAAAACAATGATTTGCATGGAGTGGAATTCAATCCTGCCTGTAATTTAAATAATCAGGAAACCAAGGTGCAGTTCCACCTCCTGCATTAAAATGGACCCATCCAACACTGTTAAAAAACATAACCTTTAGAAGTCAGAATGTCTGATTTTTAATGCTTTTTCCCCAAAAGTGTGACTATTATTCAGTTGTGTTTGGTATGTTTAATTTAACTTGTGTGAGGATTTTTCTTTTTCACCATTAATGGATTATGTAGTTCAGGTGGGTAGCTGCGTCAGCATTTGTAGGCTGCAAAGGAACAAGTAATAGGTTTATTCCATGCTGAAAAAAAGAAGCATGGAATAAATCTATTACTTGTTCCTTTAATGGATTATTGTATCTTTTGAGTTTTCACTAAACTTACATATGTCCAGTATTTGAATGTAATAGATCTAGATAAGATTTTTGTGGGGGGTGAGACCTTCTTAGTAAGTGAATTTTGTACTAAAATACTCCTTTTACACTGTTGTATACTATATATGTCTTATTGAATAGGTTTATTAAAATCAACTTCTATAATATTTAAACTGAGACTTAATGGTCAGGTGTCTACCATCTTGTTTGATTTTCTTTCAGGCCACTGATTTCAAGGTATATAGACCATAGCCTGGTGTAAACTTTCTGAAGGCAAAATCCCCACATTGTATAGTCATAATATACAACACTGATGGGAGAGTACAATATGTCTTCCACAGCATCCTCTCCCTTCTGTAGCATTTAACAGGAGCATTCATGAGGTTGATGTGATATTACGATAGCCTTGCTGATCTTCTGTTTCACTTTTAGCTTACTGTAATATGTGAATATACAGTATTCCTCCATACGTAAATGACAAAATTATTGAATCAAGACAAAGAAAAAATGTAATTATTATTAAAAAGTAATTAACCCAATTTTTAAAACAGGAAATGTACTCTACATCTTTAAATATTATGGAAAAGTCTCATATTTCACTCAGCAATATGGAGTAAGGGTTAGGCTTTTGACTAGTGAAGGATTAAAAGTTAACATGCAGGGTTAGGATATATTTGTTGTACTGTACATGCTTTAATAACATACCAATCTGTACACACTGATACAAAAGTTGAAGAGAAATCAAATAACATAATTCATAGGCTGGTCTAAAAAAACATAAGAAAATGACTCAAAATGAATCACTCAAATTATTACATTACCTACTTTCTCACTAGCCTTTTAAGAGAGGCAAGCTGGCTTCTGACATAGTGGGTTTCTGCTTTGCTGTTCTGTAGTGCTTTGTGGAGTCTCACCACATTTGGTGTCAGATCCATTACCTGTAACTTGCAGTACTCACTGACTTGCTCGATAGAACTCAAATGACTTGTACACATTTTCTAAATAAAAACGGAAGTTAAATATTTTTTCTATAATGAACACCATAGCTTTAATCAGCAATCACGTCCTTTATAGTAGTTTTGGAAAATAGGACAAAGGACAGCATTATGATGGTGTTACCCATTTGCAACAGTGACTTCATATAAATATGGTAGCATTACTTACTGAACTGTATGGCTCTATCTCTATCTGTTGCTTTAGCGACAAGTATAATTACTTCTCCTTGTGTTTGGACTGGGGCTCCTACCCCTCAGTTATCAATTGTTTTGAAACAAAGAAAAAAGGATGAGAAGTAAGCACCCAAAGAGTCAACACAATAGTCAAAATGTGACCATAGCTCGCTATTATGTATAAGATAACTTTATTTGTCCCTAGGAGTGTGATTATTTTGTACTGACACTATGGATTGTCTAACTGCACTAATAAAATGGGATTCTAATTTTTAAAAACATGTACATGTATATATTACTGTATACATTTTTTTATTTAAATACATGTCCAGCTTTCCAAAATATTACACTCTAAATAACTGTTCCAATTAATGTAAGATTAATATATATTTGTATGAATTATACAATTTAAAAGGTCATAATACTTCAAATATGTTCTTAATACTTAAAGCAATTAAAAGCAGTTAGGGGAAGGCATACGTAATACAATAACTAATGTTTTACCTTTAATTTTGGTCGGTGAAGCTAGGAATACAGAATGATAGCAAGACACACTTGAAGTAGTCTTGGTACTGTATATTTATGGTAATATGTACTGCAAAGAGGAAATTATTTTTATCAAAGTACTTCATTTTCTGAACTAAAATAGTAAAATAGCCAATTTTGAAATCTATGATAAAACACTGAAGCCATGCAGCAGATACTGTAATTACAAGTAATGACAAGTGTTTTAATACATGGGTTACGTAATTTCCAACTTTAAATAATTTGAGTGTTGTTTGGATATTGACACCGGTTACATGTTATGCAAATGAGACAGATGCTTTCTATTGAATTTATACTACAACCTCTGCTTTGTTTACTGCCGTGTGGCTTTGTGATTAAATATATCATGGTCGGAAAGATACATTGTAAAATATAGAAAATATTTTGATTTTGGAAATGATTGGGAAAGTTGCTCTGTGCAAACACTACTCCCTGTGTTTACTTAAAGATTGGTGCAATAATATAGACGTTTGGTGCACGTTGTTAAGACTTCTTTACGCTCTTTGTTTACCACGACTTTTTACTGGTTAAATTATACTATGCTTGCACCTTTCGTGAGTATTTAACGTTTCTTATTTAAATATACAATATAGACGCTACGAATTCTCGCCAAATTAGTTCGTGAACAGATATGATCCTTCTTTCTGTTTATGTCCCAATAATGTACTTGTAACACTCCAGAAATCCGCTTACTTACCCTCAATCATGAATACAAGGATTTTTTTTCTTAAATGACGTACTGTATGAGGTCCCGCATTTTCATGTTGTGATCTTATAAGTGTCATGTCACGTGCTTCGTAACTATGGTTGCCAGGTTAATACGTTTTATATGGTTGGAATGTTAAGTAATTTGGTTGTGTGAGTGAAGGAGTGGGAGGATTTACAGTACACGGAACCAGCTTTTGTTTTCCTTGTTTTTTCAATCTGTTTTAAAGTAATTTATGCACATAAAGAATCGTTTTATTTCCTTATAATTTTGACAGCTCTTCCCATTTGCAATGTTACAACAATGAACTCTTGTTCCAGACTTTTCTCTTTTGAGTACACATTTTTAATTCTGGCCATAATTTCTAGTTGTATTGGGGAAGAAACCTTTAATTTCATCACTTACATTGTACCAGTTACAGTATATGTTTAATGACTACATGGCACAATGGAAAAAAAAAACGACTTTTTTTTAATTTGCCATTAAAAGTTGCTGTAACACATAGAAAAATGTGTATTCTCAAACTTGAAGTTACACTGAAGAGTAGTAATGTAAGACAATTTGTACTGTAAATAATAAGTACTTTGTACAGTATATGAAACAACACATGACTCACAAAAGCTATCTGAATTCAGTACCAATACAACATAAACATCCATTCTCTTATTTTATTTTAAGTGCTTCATTTAATTCAGGGTCGTAGCTGAGTCTGAGCCTATCCCAGCAAACAATATGCGCATGATCCTGGAACCCACACTTGCACCAGGGACAATTTTCCAGAAACCAATTAACCTATCGGTATGTTTTTGGAATGTGGAAGGAAACCAGAGCACCTGGAGAAAACTCACATGAACACAAGAGAACATAAAACTCCACACAGCTAGCACCCCATGTCTTTAATTAAACCCTGGGCCCCAGCACTGTGAGGCATCAGTGTTAAAATAGTTTTTCAACAAAAGATGTGGTATTTAGTATTGTGAGGATAGTCATGGTTAGAGGTCTAAGGATGTTTAAACTTTTAAATGGCATTTCCTTTTTTTATCAGTAAATTTGTGATGTTTGTTTTTCTTTTCATTGTGTTCAGGTGAAGGTTTGCTTTGAAAACATTATTAATTTTATTAGGGGGTGGGGGATCATTCAGAAACATTGTCAAAATGCAAAATAATCAAATGCATATTGAACATTTTTTTTACCTTTTTTAAAAGATAATGAAAAAAATACAGTTTTAACAATGTTTTTATTGTCTGTACGATAACCTGTTATAAACTGTAGGGTCAAACATATAATAATAATAATAATAATAATAATAATAATAAATAATTTCTTACACTTCTATAGCACTTTTCTGGACACTCCACTCAAAGCGCTTTACAGGCAATGGGGACTCCCCTCCAGCACCACCAATGTGCAGCATCCACCTGGATGATGTGACGGCAGCCATAGTGCCCCAGAACGCTCACCACACACCTGCTATCAGTGGGGAGGAGAGCAGAGTAATGAAGCCAATTCATAGATGGGGATTATTAGGAGGCTGTGATTGGTAAGGGCATATGCAGTACTATAAATGAACATCACACACAAGGTTTCTGTGCACAGTCACAACAATTCATGCTGTTTTCCCAATGTACAATATATTTTATTTGCATTGTATGATACAATGGAGGACTGCTGGATTCAAGTTGAACGGCTTTCTCAACAAACCACTGCAGCCCTCTAGTGATCAAATCAAGATAATGCAGCATCAGAAAATAGGTGTGGTGGGAGATAGTGGGCAATAGCATCATTAAAAATAATGCTGTGCTCAGCACTAAACTACATATCTAGTCAAAACTGTGCAGCCATCTATTAATCAAAATCAGACACTGTTATTGAGATCGGTACTACCTTCTACTGCTCTTAGCTAGACACTTAAAAAGGGTTTCCCTTTGTTGATAAAATACAAGAAAGGTTTCAAAGGCCATTTGGTCTTGTTTGGTTGCCAGCAGCTAATCTGAGGATTTTATTTTACAGTTTCTTTTACATTTTTTTCATAATGTAGATGATGAAAGATATCAATCGAATTCTGACAGTTCACTGCCTAACTGTGAATGCAAATTCTACTAACATCTAGTGCTGCTGGGGGTACTGTAGGTGCTAACTGGAAGCTCCAGCACAGGGGTAGGCAACAATGGTTCTTGAACACCATGTTTGTTTCTGGGTTTCATTCTATCTCAGACCTCAGTGATGTAAATGAACCAATTATGTGGATAAGAATTCAAGTCACCTGTGTTTTCTAAGTGTTAATCAGGTGCTAATTGAAGGTTGCCTCCAAAACCTGCAGTGACACTTGAGAACCAGGGTTGTCTACCCAACTCCAGTGTAATGGCACCAGTATAACAGCTGCAGAAGAGATTGGTCCTAGGGGATCCCTGTCATTTGGTTATTCCAGGATAGGTCTTAATCCCAAATTAATTCATTCAATTTTCACTTTTAAGACATTTTTTAAATCTGCCTTTCACTCTTAAAAAAGCTGAGTGGGATCAGTATTCTTATCAACACTGAACAAGTTTTAATTTGCTGAAATATATACAGTATATATATAAAAGTATGTCAAATATAATTAATTGAAGGTCTGCAATGGGAAATTAAAAACTTTGTGTGATTTATTCAATGCACTGTCTTTCTCAGTCTGTCTAATTGATCACATATGATTTGTTAAGACAGAAATAAGAAAGGCTCCTTTTAAGCTAAGAAAACATTGCATAAAGTTCTGTATTGACGTAGGGAGCAATATGCCTGAAGTATGCTATTTTTTATAAATACATAGACAGAAACAGGTAAACACAGTCTAAACAAGCAAGTAGATCAATCTGGCATCCATTACCATAGATGATCCAGAGCTCATTTAGTATCAAACAAGAATATGGATCATGCTAATTATCAATTCAAATGCCAAATATCTAGGGTTTACCAAATTCCCCAGTGGAATACTTGAAGGACATCAGGTTGAGTAGCCCTAAATTTAGATAATTTTTGGCTTCTGTATAATAAGAAATCTGAATACAGCTTGTCATAAGTCATGAGTAAGTTAACTGTGTTTCTCAAACATACTGTACTATCATACACTTCTACCACAAGATATTTTAAAGCACGTTATTAAAAAAGATGTGGGTGCTGTACTTGTCCTGATACAAGCCTTTATTGAACATTTCTGCAATGAGTTAGGATGATATATGGTATCTAATGTCTTAGTCCAGTGATGAAGACACTGCTTATCCAGGCAAAATGAAAAGAATGGGTCAGAATCACAAGAAAGCAATTGAAACCTGGTGCACACCATGCATCACAAATACACAGCTTACTGTAAATTGCTTCCCATGATTGCCACGTACTGTACTACTACTAGCCTGCGACTAACCTTGATCAGACCTGTTGGTTACAAATGTGAATCAATATAATGCATACCTACTGTATACCATGTCACTTCAACAAAATGTTAGTGCTTATGCTACAAAAAATACTTTCTACAAAAAAACTTTTAATTTGTTGTGCTTATAAGTGATGCTCCTTCTGATGCTCTGTATATAAACCAATAATTATAATCACTGATACCAGTATTGAAACAGCCTGAATCCCTTATTTTTATGTCGAAATGCAAGTTATTGGAATAATGACCGTTGGTTAAATAGAAAATGTTGTTTGCTATAGCTTTTTGCTTTAATGGCAGTTTATTTACCGATGAACCCTGGCTGTTATATAATGCAAACAAACATGTTTTCATTTTCAGCCACAGTCTTATCTATCGGGTAGCAACAGATCACCAGTGTGACTGCCTTTCGGTCCCCAGCTATTTAATTAAAACGCCGACTGTGACTGTAATGAGAGTTTTCAAACTTTTACGAAGAGCAGTACCGATTTCGAAGACTTACAGCAACACTCCGCATAAGAGGCATCTTACATACTAAATACCGTTTAAGCATCATTGTTAAGGACGAGTGTTGCAGAACCGAAAAGGAACCTAAAAAACAAATTAGGGAAAATCTTAATGGATCGGTTAATCAAACACATTCTGCAAGCGTCTCAAGGATTGCTTGAGTCGTTTCTATAGAAACGGCTGAAAATAGCACAAAAGTTTCCCAGGATACTCTCGGGCTACAGCATGTAGAGCGCTAGGTCCTACTGTATGTACATTGCCATTAGAACTCACATAGGCGCATTTGGAACAGGGTTTCCAGTCTAAGGAAACCCTTTCCTTCACTAAAGCACAAATTCATTCTGAAAGAGATTTTGCAAAACAGGGCAGTTCAAAGGGGACGACAGAGCTGCATTGGTGCTGTTACTATCTGTGAATTTTTACTGTACTGTATATGGATTTTTTTTGCTATTAATTTTGCACATCTGCACGTTTGCGTTAACTTGCTAGCGGCGTTATGTGTTCACCTTTTGTTGCGTTTTTTCCTTCCTTAAGCACAAGGGTTAGGGCTTTTTATCCTACATAATATACGTACAGAAGCTTCTTTTTCCTGATGGAATTTTGCTAATCACATTTTCTTTGTTCTTTCAGAAATAACAAAATAGTTATAAAATATTAAAACTTTTACGTTTAATTGAATTAAGATATTGTTTTAACTATAAATCTTGAAACAAATATTTTCTTGCATAACCATGAGTTCAGACAAACACAGTTTTCTCTCTCAGCCTGTGGTGAAGAACGTAGTTATGTATCGAAATGGAGACCCGTATTTTGAAGGTAGACGTCTGGTGATAAACGAGAAAAGAGTGTCCACTTTCGAGACATTTTTGAAAGAAGTGACAGGAGGGGTTCAAGCTCCTTTCGGGGCTGTCAGGAACATTTACACCCCGAAAGGAGGACACCGGCTGACCTCATTGGAACACCTGCAGAGCGGACAACAGTATGTAGCAGCTGGAAGAGAAAAGTTCAAGAAAATTGAGTAAGTAACACTTATTAATTGTACTTTTCGTCAATAATGGTATTCCAAAAGGGCTATAGAAGTTTTACTAACTGTTATTAGTAATAGATTATAATTTTGTACTTTTACTATAGCTCTTAAAGATTTTTTTACAAACGAGATTAATTATTTATGATTATAACTTTCCTGGTTATAAATTCTAGATTGTAAGATTGTCTTACAATTAGTTATTTATTTGTAACAAGATCCAACTGCAGTACATCTTCAAATTTAATGTGCTCTCTAAAGTATTTTTGTCCTTTTCAGCTTTCCAGTTTTGTGATTATGAATGGCATTTCTTAATCGGTGATGTAGGCTATAACATTTTTCTTAGTGAAAATAATATTTTTGATATTAAGAAAGTTCCCAATACACAGAACATTGACTGATTACTTTATTTTTATGTTCTGCAATGCAACAACATTTCTAATGAACAGAAAATAAAACATTATAATGCTTTGCAATTATATGACAATTTTAATCCCAAAAGATCTCATAGTGTTTCACATATAGGAACAGGCACACTTCATCCACCTGCTGAAGTATAGTACCCATCTGGGACACTTCATTGTAGTCCAGCAGCCACACTATACACTGTACATTAGATCAGGAAGAAAAACTCCTTTGCTACAGTACTTTGCCTTGAGTTAAAGGGGGGAGTTTAGGCAGGCCAGATTGTGCAAGCCCAAATCTGAATATAACCAGGACACTATAGTTAAAACCCCCTACTCAGAATATCCAGGGCCAAAAGGGATCTTTAATGACCAGTTAGTCAATACCTTGGTATAATGTCTCATCTGAAGGACAGCACCATATCCCTTGTCAGCATTCTTCAGAATTAGTTTGGAAATTGTTGCTCCACCAAGACCACTTAAAGCCACCTCATCTTTCACCATTCTTTCGCCTGGGTGTTATTACGGTGACTCTTTCATCAAAATTAACACTGGTCCTATGTAATCAATTGTCCTTTAGCATAGAGCCACAAGAATCTTGATTTTGGAGAAAATTTATATTTCCTTTGGAGACCATTAATTCTGATCACCTTGGAACACTGTATTTTTAGCCTAGCCTTTCCCAGCAAAAGTTGGTAGCATGCAAAAAGTTAATTTTATTCACTCACCAAGCAGCACATATATTTAAAAAAAGTGTATAATTGATTTCATATTAAGAACACCACTGAAACACAAAGGATGCTCTTGTTATATGTTATAAATATATGTATTCATATTCAAATATGAATAAACTAAGCATTTATTTTGCTGTTAAAGGTTGTGAATATACAGTACAGTATTTATAATTGGGTCTTCACATACAAAGCAAGCAACTCATATAAGTCACCATCAGCTTCTCTCTAAAATGTGATCAAATTAAGCAACAACCGGCTTACACAATTGTGTTGGAAATGTTTGTATGTGCTGCAGCAGCACACCACATTTTACTTAACCTTCCTTTACAGTATACTTGTTTTATTCATTGAATCTTTCCCCTTTTACAATTTTCAGTTATTTGCAGATTGGAGCCAAAAAGAAAAAAAATCTTCAAAATACAGCAGCACTGGTAAGGCAAAGTAGTCTCCATGTTATAACATTGCTATTACCACCAATATAAAAAATAGTTATGAATTTAAGTGTATTACATTAAGTATTTCTAGTTTTATCATTCAAGCAAATGTATTCATTTTCTTGCTACTTATCCAATTAAATGTACTGCATCCTGCAATAGTTTGTGTTAATATCATGCTTGAATTTATATTTTGCTATGTTAATTATTACAAAATCTTTTTTATAGAATACTATGAAGAACTTAGGAATTGTTAGTGTTGCACAAGTCACATAATAAACTTCTTCTATAGCTGACCTCAGCCCTGCCTGTGCAGTGTACATACTGTATGTACTGTTTATCTGAAATAAATATTCTATCTCTCTATTGCTAATACTCTATCAGTATTTAATTAAGATAAAGTATTCCGTTTTGTACAAAAGGAAATAGTTGTTTAGATTTATCTCTATTTATTATTTTTATATCAAACTTTAACCAGAATAAGGTATTTCCTTATGCTACACAAGTGAGATGCTACCCAAGTCAATAACAGCCTGATCAATAAGATGATCAATGTGTCAAGCCTAATCAATATGCTTTACTGATATTAAATGTGGAGGTGTACTACTTTCAGTGAAATATAACTGAGATTCCCATTGGCTGAAATAGCTCCCCTGTGCTATATTAACCTAAAAAATGGAAGGGAACACTGACTTTTTCCAAGAAAGTAATTTGGATATGTGAGTGAATAATTAACTTTACATGTTAGAACTGAAGTACAAAGATGAAATTAAAGATTTGTACAGTAGGAAAGAAGAATGGTGAACCAGTTCGAGACTGAGCTGCTACTGAATAAATCAAACAAACTTTTTGAATTAAGAATTCAAAGAATTATATGCTTATCATAACAAAAACATATTCATCATTACCAAGCAATTGTAAAAAAAAATATGTACAGAGGGCACTGATTTTTTCCTTCCATCCATTTAAAAAAAATCTTAGTCCAATACAGGGTTGTGGTTTGCCAGTGACTGAACTGGCAGAGAATGTGTGCAAAGCATACACTCTGGAAGGGACACCACACACATACACATATATTGACTTGCACTGCATTAGTGGAACAATTTAGAGAATCTGCTTAACCTAGACAGCATGTCTTTGGACTGTTGGAGGAAGCCATAGCACCTGTAGAAAACTTTTGTGGCTAAAAGATGCCCCAGGTCAGCACCAAACCCTGGAACCAAAAGCTGAAAGACAGCAGAGCTACCCACCACTACCCACCACTTCATGTTTTCAACTGAAATTAAATTGAACAGAAGTGACAATGGTTAATTCTTTATGCTGATTAACATTTGACCATCAACAGTGTCTATCAATTGGTTATTTAATGAAAGTCATAGGCCAGCTGTGTACAACCACTTCTGGGCCTTACCAAAGATAGATGGGGGCACTGACAGACTGAAGAAAACAACAAATGTTGATAAACAACACAATATTGAGTGTGAGGTTATACAGTAAATCCTGTCATGTGGAATTGTGTCCTATTCCTCTCATAGAGCCAGGATGAACATTCACAAGTCACTAGTTAGCTCTAGATGTCTCATAATGTACATTCCAAATCATACCTATCAATACCAATGTTCAATTGGGCCCAAGTGTAGCGAGAAAATATCCAAAAGATAGCTATCATATTCTCATCACGCATCACTCCCATAGCATTGATGTATTATATTGTCTGTTATATCTTACCAGGTTAATAAATACTGGTTGTGAATACTCTGAAGAGTAAGTGACACTTTGCTGATGTACTATAGTTCAACATCCAACATACGGATGGCACAAAGACATTGTTCTCTTGATAAATGGAGCCTGTTTGTTCCTATCTGTGTTTTTTTCATTCTTGACTTTCACCAGACTTGTCATTCAACAGGCTAAATCACCTCATTAATTGTTCCTAGTCTGCATTCTGACTAATGAGGTGATTTAGTTCTTGACTTGATACACTCATCAATTAAACAACATGATGCCAAAACATTTAATTTAACTCAAAGTCCACATATTTTATTTTTCTTAGAGACATGCATTCACATACATAGTGAAGCTCACTATTCATTGTTCTGTGTTTTCACAGAATATCGTATTCAGCTGCTTGACTGACAGCGAGCAATCAGCAGCATTTAAGCAAAAGAAGCAGTGTAAACAGAAGGGAGACATAACCTGAATGGCTTATGACTGATGTACTGTACTACCTTTTAAAATTATGTTAATTTGTAATTGGCAGTTTGACACTGAATTCCTCAGACTGAGTTTGGATAGTGAAAAATTAAAAGAGACATACTCTAAGGTATGTGACATTAGGCATGTAGTACAGTATGTTATTATTTGCTCTCAAATAGAAATAGAAAAACGTTTGTAACATCCAGAGAATGAACACCGTACACACAGTGATATACCCTGGCCAGCCACTGGGAAAGCAATCACTACCTAGTTCCTGTATGTCCAGGTTGGACTGCCCAATCTCCTGTTTGGCATGGAAATGTTTGCTGTGGTTGAGCACAAGATTGAGGGGGCATAATTCAGTTTTGTTGAACATATACTCTTACAGTAGATAAAATCTTTGGGATTGTACAAATGAATTCAATAGGGTCAAAGAAATAAAATAAATGTGGGGAATATAGATTAAATAGTTAAGAAAGCACAATAGCTGAATTTCACTGGGTCTTAAGAGTTTACATTATAAAAAACAGTTTTGTTAAAAATGTTCGCGCTGAAACTCTGACCTGAGGTGCACTTGATCTGGGAATTTATACTGTGTGTTTGGTAGTAAGTATCCTAGAAACCCTGTAAGTGTAGAGGTACTACTGAGATGAAGGAGGAAATTTAAAGGCTAATTAACACACTGAAGTAAAGATTCTATAAATATTACTTTTGACAGCATGCATGTTGTCTTAAGTTAAAAACCATTAGATAAAATATGCAAAAACACATACAGTATATAAAGAGAGTAAGTAAAGCAGTACTTATCTACAATATCAGATTCAGTAGAAGACTGAGCTTGATTAGGCAAAGATGATTTATTAAGCTTTGCTCTCATTTTATAATGAAAGTTTAGGAGGAGAACAGGCCCAGCTCTCACCAATCACTGGTTGTAAGGTAAAAATATGGACCTCTAAATGCTTGACAGACTAGCACCCCTCCATCATACACAGGTGGAATAATCTCTTGGGACATTGGGGAGCACTGACTGTAAGCAATTATTATTATTATTCAAGAAGCACCCTAGGATTTTTAATGACCACAGAGAGTCAGGACCTCAGTTTTATGTCTCATCTGAAGGACAGAGCCTTTTTGCAGTAAAGCATCACTGGCACAGACTGAAGAGTGATCACCCTCTACTGGCCCAACTAACCTTCTTCCAGCAGACACCTTAGCTTTCCCAGGAGGCCTCCCATCCAGATACTGGCCAGGCTTACACCTGCTTAGCTTCAGTGGGTTGCCAGTTGTGAGTTGCTTATATACAGGACGACTATTTGTCTTACATAAACCTACTGGTATGAGGTTGACTTGGATTTTACTTAGTGTGTCAATATAAAACAAATTATATTGAAATTACATAAATTATATTAAAAATGATATATAATTGAATTGAAAAATCATATATAAATTATAATAAATGAAATTGAAAATTTTGTTAATTCAGAGTGGGTACACACAATCTATTTCTGCTTTTCTTAAATGTTAAAAGTTCAGTTACGTTAAGATTTCCAAGAAAGGCTATAAAAATGAACAAAACAGGTGGTGTGTTACATCAAGCTTTCTCATATGTCATAAAAAAACAAGAGATGCCGAGTTAAGCAAGGTGTAATGTTTAGCTGAAATAGAAGTCGTTTTCTCTTGTCTTAGGAGGATCACCTTGTGGGCAGCACATGCAAGAATATGAATTATTCAGATGCAACCCATAATCTCCTTGATCACATAGGCATATTTCACTGAAGAGTACACTTTCATGCCCACACCACTCCTGTTGACTGGAGCATTATTTTAATGCTCTTGCTAAGGTTGAGTGCATTAAAAATAACATAAATCAAACAAAAATAAGTTTAAAAAAATCAGACAGCATTAAGAAAACCAATACTAAATTAATGTACAGTATTACGTTCTAAAAGAAGTCTTGAGCAACGTGCCAAAAGTTTTATTATCTTTCTAAAATATAAATTGCTAAGCACATATCCAGGTCATGGTTTCCTGGGTAATTGGCTTGGATTTATTTCTTACCAATGAAGCATTAACAAGCAATCTATTTATGAGGACTGTTTTCTGTTTCACATCCTCTTGTACAGTATATGTTGATTGGTTCAGTTAGAGAAGCTCTTGAAATTTTGTCTCTAGAATTCTTTACTCTGACCTGTGGGCTCACTGTCTGTTTCAGTAGTGGTTGCTAGGATATACAGCTGGCTTTATGAGAAGGTGATGCCATACTGTAGATGTGACTTCCCAACTGTTATTTTTTACAGAAAAGACCAAACCTTTCCTCAGTTAAAGAATTGTTCTGTAGTCTCTTACTTCTGACTCATACCTTTCACATGGTTTGTTTCATGTTTGAATAAAAGAAAGAACTGATTTTGTAATTAGAAGTATTATACACAAGGGGGTTGGGAAGGTGTGGATTACTGTTTTTTTTTCTTTATTTGTCACTGAGTATATAACAATCTCCTGGGTTAAACTATCTATTCCCCTGAAGTTTTTTGTAAATCTAGATCTAATCTCTTCTCAGGCTCCTTTGTTTTACAATAAAGAGTTGTAGTTCCCTTAAACTGTCCATATAGGATGTCCCCTGGACACACATTTACTGTAGCTATATATCTAAGCATTCTGCTTTTAGTTAATGGCTTTCCCACATCAATTCAGTGAGGACATAGAAGAAGCTTACATAAATACCCAGATGCCTTTCATGTGAATTTTCCTGTGGCTCAAAAGCATTCATGTGTTATGCTTGCAATATGTACTCCCTAGTGTGCTTATGCACACTAGGGTCTATAGGTCTTATCCATGAATTCCCCACTACCACTACCTCCTTCCTATTGGGGTGGGCTCCTGGATGCCCTGTGGCCCATCAGGCCTCACTGTTTCCTCCAGGCTGCAAGTGTCCAGATCCGGTCTTCGCTAAGACCTAGAAGTGGTTGAAGATGTGATGTTCTTCCCTGCAGCTTCTCTCTGTCTACACCTATCTCGTCCCCTGGTGTGAAGGCTCTTGTCCCCAAAGCTTGTAGAATGCACACAATCTCCCTATAGGGCATTCCAATTTATTTCAGCAACTCCACTAAATCTGAGTTGCAGTAGGTAAGCAAGGTGGGTCTCAAGCCCAAGGATCTTGAACTTTAGATGCTCAACCAGCTGGCAGTGTTCACAGATTAACTCTCCATAGACATCTCTGTCTTGCAATAATCCTGCAAACCGCACGCTGCAATTGTTTCATATTGCAATTGTTTCTTTTTCTGTTTATTAAATACACATAAATTACTGAAGATTTTTAGCCCAGAGCAAAGAAAAGGGATTAAGTATTTAGTTAAAGTTCACTAATTTTTTTAGCAGAGATTGTGAAAAATGTGAGAGAATTGATTAATTTACATCTTATGCTGATTTATTAGTTTAACCATACAGTATTACAGTAATATTAGAGAAAATAAAAAGAAATACTTCTGACTGCCTACCAGCTTACACAAATTGTGGCTCCTGAGGAGGCAAAAAAGGAAGAAAATTCACTTCAGTCCACTAAGGACAAACAGGCATAAATTCCAGGATCAACAGCTGATTTATTTATACTTAAAATTGAGAAAAAATACAAAACTTAACAGATTAAAAATATCCAACAAACAACAGCAAGTTATACTCCTTTAATCACATACTCCTGTGAATCTCATCTGTGTACACAAATGTTATTCACGGTGATCTCAAATTTCAGCAATAAACTGATTTCTGCCTTATTGGTGGGAAAAAAGGGAACATAAATTATTATAGATACAGTACCTAATGTACCTTTCGCTAATAGTTATATGCTCATATACTGTACAGTAAATAAATTAATCCAGGCTGTATTCAGATGATGACTCTAAACTGTTTATGTTTTAAAATAAAACAAATTACTAGAAAAATAGCTATAAATGTATTAAAAAATAAAAAGCATTATATGATTAATTGTCCTTTCAGCAATTTTCTATACAAATACAATTAGTAAAAATAAATCAATGAAATTCTCTTTTATGGAAGCCAATAGCTTTCTGCTCTATCAATGGTAATGATATTAGACAACAAAAAAAAATAATCTCCTATTTGAAATAAACCATCAATATCATGAACATCTACTAAATGAAAATTTGATTTACTATTAGAAAGGTTAATATAAATGTATTTTATCCCAGTAATATGCTTACCAACATTTCTGTAATTGTAGCTATAATAACACAGTAATCTGTATCATTTTAAAAACAGTTATTTTCATATTTTTCTATTTTTGAAAATTATTTAGTGAGGAAGATTATAATGTAAATCGTTCTAATTCTATAATTTTATCTTCTGTAACTTTTTGTCTGCACCCTCTGATATATTCACAGATAAAACCAGTGGCCCATAGTAGGATAATTGTATCTGCAAGATTTCTGAAACCTATTAAAGAGCCATGTGCAATTTTGTAAGTATTTAAGTAAGGCCTATATTTTATATATAAGTGTGTTTAAAGAGTGCAATATTAAATATATACAGTAGCTATAGCTGACATTTCTAAAATATTATTTCAGTGTGGTTGCCAATGGAGATGTGTTAAATCCAGCTGTCAGGCTTTTAATACCTCGTCGAGTACTGGGACAATTTGATCACGTGCTTGAGATGATCACAGAGAAAATGGGTTTGCGAATTCTAGGAGGTGTGCGCAGGTATAGCATTTTGAGATTTCTTTTAATACTGTACTGCAAGGTCTTAGTTATACCATATTTATAGTAATATATAATTAGAATATACAATAAAATTCTAATGTACTATTATAGTAATACAGTATAATGTATTTATCAAGTTTAATCTGATAAAGCATCAATCAGTTAACAAATAATTCCCACAACTGTTTTAGGATTATGTCCTCACCAGAGAAAGAGAGGAGGAAACTACAGTAACAGTTACAGTAAAAGCACAGTTTTGCAGTCCATCTCTGTATTATTTGACAGTATGACTAAGTGCAGCGGATAGTAAATTATGCACAATTATAGAAAAACATCAAGAAAACTTAATGAACTTTTTAGAATGACAAGAAAAATGTATTCTACATTTCTTTGTCAGCCTGTACACTTTGGATGGGGGACTCATCAGTGATGGAAAGGAACTTGAAAATGGACAGTTTTATGTCGCAGTTGGGCGTGAAAGGCTTAAAAAACTTCCCTACAGTGAACTTATTTTCACAAAACCAGTGGCAATGAGAAGATTTATCGGGTAAGTGTTATTCACACAGATTCAGCCTTAATCCGAAAGAAAGTAGCAATTTAAACAAAATATTGCCATTGAACTATATGGATTAGATGAGCAATCTGCTGTTAAAATCAGATCTTATATTCTGTAGTGCTATTGAAAAACCTAATTAGCATTCTCAAGTGAATTAATAAGTGTGAATTTGTATTTGACAGAACAGAGTGAAACACTCCATATATTGGGTCTAGAAAGAGAGCACTGTTCTTGAAAAAAGTGTCATACTTTGCCTGCAAAACTAAAGATTTTCTTTACAGACATTTCATGCATATAGAGAATCATTGCTTGTGAGACTTACAGTACGTAAATGTGAATTTATTATTTTTAGTGGCATGACTGTATAAAGGCAAATTGTAACTGGTTCTTTAACTTTTAGGTCCAAAGCAGCTTCACTTCCCCCCATTTTCCGATTTAGGAAGCATAATGAAAATGTAAGTAGTATATATAATAAATAACAATACAAAATGATTTTTGATAGCTGTTAGAATTAACAAAACCTTATGTTTCATATAAATTTAAGTATTTATTTAACATCAAACAACTACAAATATTCTGTATATTATTCTTGATCAGCAAATTTGAGTGCACTTGGTTAGCAAACCAGAAATGGGGGTACAAAGAAACGCATTCTTTGTATTTAGACTTTTTCCTTTTTACTTTTCAACATGAACTTTTACTTTTGCTTGTTGCTTTGCAGCTCTCATACTGACGTAACTCTTCACCTTATCCCCATCACTAGAAACAGACAGAAAGTCCAGATCTCAACACATACAGTACACCTACCAGGGACAGACATAGTGTATTGAAATAAATTAACCAAAAGAACAGTTTCTGAAGAGATCCTTGTTTTATAAAACTGTTGATTTCAGCTATACATTTATCCTGAATTGTCTTATTAGTAATTTCTTGAAAAAATATTTATACTTTATGTCATTGTTAAAAATGGAAGTGTAGTGACCTCTAGTTGCCAAACTAAATCTGGATAACGTTTGTGTAGTAATATTGTTTATGAGATTCTGCAGACAAAAATCCTTGGTGGACAATTTGCAGGGAAACCTGGAGAATATTATTGGAAAACTCATAAGAAAAGAAGACTCAGCATGAACTGTCAAGTTGTATGAGAGCACTGCCACTGCTGACATAGAGGATTGGTTTGAAACATTTGTTGTAAAACACCAGAAGAGCAAGTACAGCTTTGCATTTTTATAATTGTGAAATATAGTTGATATTTAGATCATTTATATATTTTTATTGTTAAATATTCATTCAGGTAGTGTTGAAAATGTTCTTGCAGGACTTGTTATACTTTTAATTTCTCATCCATGACCCAATTTATCTGATCAGTGACAAATCTCCTTACCAGGGTGGTGAACATCAGGATAAATCAGCTGCTGGTTGCAGTGACACAGGGGATGCTCTGACCTCTCCACCGGCCAGAGCAAACAAGGAGCAGTTCTCTCAAGGGAAAGGCATGAAGCTCAGACGAAAAAAGAATGGCCTCATCATGTCACTGAGTTCCCAGGACAATGGTAAGAAAGCCAGGTGTACTGTATCTCTTCTGTCCATTTAGAATTGCTAACATCTCTTTCCTCTATTATTATAATAAATAATAAATAATAATAAAACTATTACAGGAGAAATCTGAACATTCTGTACCTTGCTGGGATCTTTGAAAAGTCTCATTATTTGGTACTGTATGTGTTATGATTAAGAAGTCATTGTTAACCATATTAACTCTTAATTAATTAAATTACGTAATTAACAATTATTAAGAGTCATTGTAAAGACCACAAAATGTCAAAAGATTTATTGGTGTTTTTGGCAAAAGGCAGCTGTTTATTTTTGTGAGATTGGCAACAATATAAAGTTCACAGTTGACAGCTGAACATGTCCTTAAAAAACTAGAAAAGTTTTGCAGCCTGCTGTATAACACGGCCATGTATCACCCCTCTGACACGGACTCCCACATTTTGACATATGCAGCTTATGAAAACACTCCATTACAGCAGATGCAACATGTTGACAATCAGTTCATCATCATATGTCTCACTCACAGCATTACTGACGTACAGTACCAGACCTCCTCAAATGTGACCAGATCTTTCCAATGTTTTAATAACTGACAGAAAATGGCATGTCAGAAATGTGTTAGTGATTGTAGAAAAGAAAGACTAAGTGACATCCCGAGCATCTGATGAAATGAATGCAAATTTGAGATTTAGCTTTTTATATAAAAGCATAAGTCATCTACTGTACATTTGATTATGTATTAAATGTGTTACAGAAGAAAAAATTCAGACTATAATGGTTTATCATTTAAACAAGAGAATCTTTAATGATTCACATCATTCTCAAAAAGTCCAAGGTTTGAATATCTTCTATTCTTTTATAAAAAAAATCCTAAAAACTTGTTTTTTTAAAAGGATTATGTGTTCATAATATGTTAGAAGTCATTTAAAATAGGAAATTAGCTTTAAATTCATGATTGTGACTTACAGTATTCTTCGTTGATTGATTCTAAGAACACTGGAAATCAGGTTTGAAGTAGTGGATACTGCCCTGGTAAAAAACATTTGGGAAACAAAACAAGTTAAAGCAGTCATGTGTTCTGAGAGATGTAATATTGTTCTCAAGTACTTGTCAGCTACTCTAAAGGACCAGTGTAGGCTATAAAATTCTCATCTCTTTATTATGTGCATTTTTCTGTTTATAAACAATGCACACTACACATGATTCGTGCAATGCTTTTATCAGCATTAATGACCTTTAATGTTCAAAACAATTTAAACATGCAATAAAGCATTCTAACGTTCATCTGTAAATAAAGATTTAGAGTTTCTGAACCAGTCTAATGGTTTCAGAAGGTCTGTCTTTGGATATCTTAGTAGGACTGAGATAGCTCAGCATATCTTGATAGCTTACCTTATCAGTTAAGGTCTTTTTTGTTTCTATAGCTTTACTTGGGCATTGGATACATCCAACACTGCTTTCTTATATGTAAAATGGAAGTATTGATCACATCACCACATCATCCATGAAAATTGTTAATTGTTTAACTTTCTGTACCAAAGGAGCATGACCAATTAATTTGATCCTGAATTTGCTGCAGTAAATGTAATTTGGTAGTTCCACCTCCCTTTCCCCTTTGTTGTCTTTTGGATGTGCATGACCGCCATTGCTCTTCTACCATATTAACCTGCATGTTCCTGTATGTTAATTTAAGAAGCCTACTGTATGATGTAATGCAGGCAAACTTACATAATATAGTATTTCATTTGACCACAAGATGGTAGTATTAGCCTACGTAACAGGAAACAGGGAAATCACTTTGGCTAATTAGTAAGCCATAAAGCAATCAGATGCCCATGTTAATTGGTATAGCTGAATGTGCTTAGGCATTCCTATAAAATAGACCACCAAAGAGAATGGTAAATTGTATCTGAGCTCATTCAGTGCCATTTTCACAAAATCATTTAAACATTTGAAGAACATTTTCCTTATATGAAGAAAGGCATCAGTTCACATGTTATTCTATCAATATGCAGCAGGCACAGGAAGCACCCAGGTGGCTGATAGAGAGATACTAATTTCCCTTGGTGGTGGAATATATCTAGGCTCATACTTTCTCTGATCAAACATTTAGCACCACTGCTTATATTCTGTAATTAATTATTGCTGACTTGAGATTGTGCTATGTACTGTGTATTTTTAATTGACCAAGATTCGCATATATATGTATGTAAATTAATACTGAATGCTCTTCTATAGTCCCATATTAACCATGCCTTAAATACAGAATTTTATACGCAAAGCAAAAATAAAAAGAAAGGTCAACGGAAAATGAACCGTCTTCCTACAATAGTCATATAAGTAAGAAAGAGTCCAAACCTTAAATGCTATAGGGCTAATTTCCAGATTCAGTATATGTAACTATACCTTAGATCCCCATCATGCAAAGTGATTTTTCACATTTGCATCGGTGAATAAACAATTAGTTGAATTTGCAACTTCCTTCTCTTGGTGTTGTGAGATTGATTTTATACAGATGTACAAAATGCACTATACAAACAGAGTTATTAACACTTAGGTTGCCATTAATAAATGTGTAAAAATAACACATTCCTGATTTATAACCATACAATTTATGATTAGCACAGGTCAATAACTACTATGTTATTAACACCATATTAATGTTTACTTCTTGTGTTTTGGTTATAAGAGTTTTAGAGAAGACTTTGCAGACCCTGTAGTAAAGAATTTCCACCTGTACAAATAATACCTTGAAATCTTTGATCGTCTCATTTGCCTTTTTTTAAGTGTGCTCCGTTGCATGCTTTGTACTTGGAAGATACAAAGAAATTATTAAGACAAAGGCTACTCTTTAATGATACAACAATAAATGAATTGAGTTAAACAATGTTATATTTTCTCTCATTTTCCTTTAATTTTTTATGACCACTATCATAATAGTATATATAAAATAGAATGAATCTTAAAACATGTTTTAAGAAGGTAATGTCTTTTATGTACTAGGGTATTATTGAGTAAGTCCTAAAATTTAAATAAGTGCTAGAGTATATGCTGTTTAAGCCACCCAAAACCTGTTCTCCAGAGGTTTTTTGCATCTGATGAGTAGCATAGCAGGAAGTAATGAATTCAGAATTTATAAAGAAATGACCCAGCCAGATTTATTTAAATTATTCTTCCAGAGGGTATCAGTTGGTATTATGGGCTGCAGAAGAAATCTTCTGTCTTGTCTGTTATTGTGACCTTGGTAAAAACCAAAATGTATAACATAAAATAAACAATACTATTAGGAACATATAGAGTGATTGCCTGTCATCCTGTAAATGCAAAAGACAGTCTCATCTAGTGTTAACAAGAGCTAAGCAGGAGAGAACTGGCAGCTAAAATAGACATCTGCAAAATTCATTTACATTTGTTGGCCTCGTTTTTTTAGCAGGATAGAATTTCCAGCTATTTACATGCATCAGAAATGTTAACTAAGTGTAGCAAATCTTTCCCTCATGCAATAAAAGGGATTAAGGTGTTGTGCATGTTAACCAAATGAAAATCTAGAAGATAATCTAAGTTACGTTTTCAAATGCTATGCAGAAAGGGGAGGGGGTATCCAAAAAACTGATGTCCTGCACCGTTGAGATAAAACCCTTAAAAGATCTAAGTTACAAGACAGATGCAGGACGTATGAAATCAGTGTTGATGGTTTTTACACACTGCAAAATTCTTCCTTGTGGCTATCAGTAATTCTATAATAATGTTTAAATAGCCTATTGAAGGCCTTTCTCAGCCGTGTTTCACAAATCAGACCTTTCTCCATGTCAAGAGAGCAACATCCTTATTTTACTGTATGTCTTCAAAAAGATTGAGCTCTGATAAGTGTTAAACCACAGTTTCTTTTTAATAATAGTGCTCTGTATAACTCAAAAGGTCTCCTAATTAATATGTAAGCTAAATGATCAAACAGATTAAACTGTAAAAATTTAGTGTGAAAAACTCAAAATTTTTCAAAAAGAAGGCGTTATCAAGAGATTTTCCACAAAAACCACACAGCTTGGTTTGGTGGGTTTGGGTTGACAAAGTATCACGAACTCAGTTTAATATGCAACAGTTACAGCTGTGATTTGCAGAGTAGTTTTGAGCTTGCAGTGTTGTCATTTCTTTAGTTAATGTGAATGTTCCTGTGAACTCTGAAATTCTCTTGACACAGATTTGATGGACAGAATATACATACTTTATTCCACATTTAGTGGTAGGGTATTTTTATGTTTAATGTGATAATTTATATTTTATATTTAATTAATTGCCTTTTTTCATTTACAGTGGCTTGCAAAAGTATCCAGTCCCTCGCATTTTTTTACATTCTGTAGCTTTAAAATTTTCAGTCATCACAATTTGAAGTAATATGTTTTTTATATACACAAGTTACTCCCTACATTAAAAGAAAAAAAGAAAAAGAAACAAGTAAATAGATAATATGAAAGAAAATTTGAAAGTCATGATAGCATGAGTATTCAAACCCTTTGCTGTGGCAAACCTAAATAAATCGAGGTGCACAAAACTACTGTATCTTGATGAGTCTGTTACATTCGTGTGTGTGGTCCATGTGTGTTTTGTTGCTATGTTCCACAATTCCTGACCTTGATTGTTCTCCCTCCCCCATTGGTCCATCATTACATCATTGTTTCCCTGTGACGTCATCATCAATCAGCTTCTCAGCCAATCAGAGTGCAGATTATTTAGTCTATAAATTGAAGGTTTTCAGAAGGAAGGGGCCTTTTGTTTGACTTTGGTCCTGCTTTGCCCAGCTTCGGTTTGGCTTCGCTTTGTTCGTCTGAGTTTTTGTATAGCTTCAGTTTTGTTGTTTCGTTTGTTTGTGTTATCCTTTATTTAGCCATTACCTTGTCCAAACGTATTGTATCAACCTCTGTGTTCTTTTGTACCCTGTTACTTGTCTACTCTTGTTTGTATTCGAAGCTCAATTGTGTAATTGTGTGAACTTTTGTGTATA